GCCTTTTGCCTTGGTTCTTCGGAAAAACAACTTGGGAGATTTTCCCCTGAATCCCTTAGGAGTTGTTGCCTTTGCCCTATTTCTTTGGAGAAGCAACTTAGTGGAGGGGGCTCCCAGCTTATTTTCACCTCAGGAGGTTTGTTTCTTTTTCCCAGGGGATTACCTGGGTTGATTAACATTTCCTAAATAAGCTGTAAACAGCTTGATGCTTTGACACTTTCGTCTGGCCTGGACTGGCGATTAATAAGACCTGAGTTGATTGACATCTCATGGGTGATTGAGGATTGGTTGAACTCTGATCTGATGAGGAATGCCCTGCTTGTAAAGGATAAGGACCAGGATATATAAGTGACTGCAAAGCAGAGGTTTTTGAGATCTCTTGGTAGAGAAATGCTGCCTGAAAGCTGAGCTGACAGGAGCAGAGCCACATGGGGTATGAGTGGCCCTGAAGCTGCTACACTGGCTATGAGCTGGGCCACTTGCAGAGAGACTTGATGGCAAAGAACAGTCTAGAGAGCTGAGTAAGCTGTTACACTGTTTATGAGCTGGGCCAGTTAGCAGCAGAGATGCCCTGATGGCATGGAGGCCCAGACAGCAGAATTGTTCTAAGTCCTGATGGAGAAATGCAACAGTGGGGAGCATTTTTGCTTCCAAGGGTTATCCTGCCAGAAAGCTGTCCTGATTGGGCAACTGCATGCTGAGTTGTATCCTTACTTTCCAGAAGCATCCTATTCTGAGTTGTTTCCTGAGTTGTATCCCAATAAACAACTTAACTATAAGTACAGTTCATGAGTTCTCGGAGACGTTGCAGCAAATTACCAAACCGAACAGGGCAAAGAAGAGTGCTGAAGGGAGGGGGAGTGGCTGGTGTCAAGATGATGGTCTGGCACAGCAGCTTGGAGAAGTTGGAAATCTGGCATATATTTAACCTCCACTTCATAGGAACCACCTTTGTGCTGATTTTTATTCATGAAATTACCCATTTACTGTGTGTGGTTCTTCATCTTTCATTTCCTTTTTCCACTCCCTTCCTCTGCCATTCCCACTAGCCATGTTCCAAATAGAGGCTGAACTGTTGGCCTTGACCTAGAATGAAGATAACATTGAGCACAGTTACAGCTGATACATCATAGACATGAAGCCTGAGTGAGAAACAAACCTTTATTACTTTTAGCCACTGAGATTGTGAGAGGTTGTCTCTTACTTCAGAATAATACAGCCCATCCTAAATAATACAGACGCTTTCCTCTGCTTCACTCTGAGGGTCTTGCCTTCTTTAGGATAAGTTTTGAACCCTTTGGGCATCTGGTCGCTGCTTTTTCATGTCATTTTTTCAGTGGACATTGTTTCAGGCATTGGTGAAGAAAAGGGGCTTTGGAGTGAGACACTTGTGTTCTAGGCTTGGCACCAGCACTTGATAAGTTATATGACCTTAGGGACAAATAAACCAACTTCTCAGTGCCTCAGCTTTCTCCTCAGTGAGAAGGAAATAATAGCGGTATCTACAATTTGGCCATGTTGTGAAAATTAATGGAACTCTGTTTAGTACAGTAAATGCTTTATAAATGTTAGCTGCTGATACTATATTGCTAGGAGAAGGAGAGCTATATTTATCAGGCTAAGTTATGCTGCAGTAACACATGACCCCCAAAACTCACAGTGTTCTAACCTTAAGCCCAACCCTGTCCCTCACCCTTCATAGGTTGGTTTTTGGCTCTACACCATGAACTTTTACGGCAGAACCAAGGCTGAAGGAGAGCCCCTTTTGGGAACTTGTTGCTCTCATGACAGAGGAAAAAGGACAAGAAAGATGACAGAGTCATGCAAGGCTTAGAAATCGCACCATCACTTTCACTTACATGCATTGCACAAGGCAAGTCACAAGGTCAAGCCTGAGGTCAGGGGCAGGGAAGTATAATCCTTTTATCAAGAAGCAGATAGTAGAGGAAAATGATGAAATCTGCCACAGAGGCCTATTTTATCCTAAGCACTAGGATTAGCAAAATGTTGGAGACCCATTTCACCTTACAAGAAGTTCATATTCTAGTAAAACAGTCATTTAAGTAGAAAAATTGTAATATAGTTTGATTAAGGTGGCATGTCTAGGTTGGACAGAAGCTGGAGTAAGTAGTTCTGCCTGCAGTGTTGGTGGATGACTCAGGAGATTGTCTTAGGGGAACTCCAGCTAGCCTCAAAGGGATACTAGGCAGCAGTAAGGAGTCCCTGGGTAGCACAAACAGTTAAGCTCCTGACTACTAGCTGAAAGGTTGGCAGTTCATACCTACCCAGAGGCACCTCGGAAGATAGGCCCGGCAATCTGCTTCGGAAAGGTCACAGCCTGGAAAACCATGTGGAGTACTTCTGTCTGCACACATGAGGTCATCCTGAGTTGAAATCGACTCAACGGTAGCTAACTACAGCAACAAGGACTGTAGTTATATGGGCTAAGACTCTGGCCAGGGTGCCTGAGGAGCTTCTAAAGGTAGTGTAGCTCCTAACACCACCTGCCTCCTCTGGACCACATGAGTGGAGGACTTTGACTGATAGGGTCATGTGGCGTGTTATTGTTGTTAAGTACTGTTGAGTTGGTTCCAACTCATAGCGACCCTGTGTACAACAGAATGAAACACTGCCTTGTCCTGCACCATCTTCACAGTCGTTATGTTTGAGCCTGTTGTTGCAGCCACTGTGTCAGTCCATCTTGTTGAGGGTCTTCCTCTTTTTCACTGACCCTCTACCGATCATGATGTCCTTCTCCAGGGACTTGTCCCTCCTGATAAAACGTCCAGAGTACATGAGACAAAGTCTCGTCGCCCTCACTTCAAGGAGTACTCTGGCTGTATTTCTTCTGAGACAGACTTGTTCATTCTTCTGGCAGTCCGTGGTGTATTCAGTATTCTTCCCCAACACCATAATGCAAAGATATCAGTTCTTCTTTCTTATTCATTGTCCAACTTTCACATGCCTATGAGGTGATTGAAAATAGCATCACTTGGGTCAGGCACATCTTAGTCCTCAAAGTGACATTTTTGCTTTTTAACACTTTAAAGAGGTCTTCTGTAGCAGATTTGCTGAATGCAATATGTTCTTTGATTTCCTGACTGCTGCTTGTATGGGTGTTGATTGTGCATCCAAGAAGAATGAAATCCTTGACAACATCAGTGTTTTATCCATTTATCATGATGTTACTTATTGGTCCATTAGTGATGATTTTTGTTTTCTTTATGTTGAGGTGTAATCCATACTGAAAGCTGTAGTCTTTGCTCTTCATCAGTAAGTGCTTCAAGTTCTCTTTGCTTTCAGCAAGCAAGGTTGTGTCATCTACATATCGCAGATTGTTAATGAGTCTTTCTTCAATTCTGATGCTGTGTTCTTCATATAGTACAGATTCTCCCTTTATTTACTCAGCATACACATTGAATAAGTGTGGGAAAGGATGCAACCCTAATGCACAAATTTCTTGCTTTTAAACTGTGCAGTATCCCTTTGCTCTGTTCACAGGACTGCCTCTTGGTCTATGTATAGGTTCTGAATGAGCATAATTAAGTGTTCTGGAATTCCCATTCTTCGCAATGCTATCCATAATTTGTTGTGTTCCACACAGTCAAATGCCTTTGCATAATCAATAAAACACAGATAAACATCTTTCTGGTATTCTGTGCTTTCAGACAAGATCCATCTGACATCAGAAATGATACCCCTTGTTCCACATCCTCTTCTCAGTCCGGCTTGAACTTCTGGCAGTTCCCTGTTGATGTACTTCTACAACCGCTTTTGAATGATCTTCAGTGAAATTTTACTTGCATATGATATTAATGATATTGTTCGATAATTTCCACATTCTGTTGGATCACCCTTCTTTGGAATGGGCACAAATATGGATCTCTTCCAGTTGACTGGCCAGGTAGCTGTCTTCCAAATTTCTTGGCATAGACGAGTGAGCACCTCCATCGCTGCATCCATTTGTTGAAACATCTCAATTGATATTCCGTCAATTCCTGAAGCCTTGTTTTTAGCCAGTTCCTTCAGTGCTGTTTAGACTTCTTCCTTCAATACCATCGGTTCTTGATTGTATGCTACCTCCTGAAAAGGTTGAACGTCAACCAATTCTTTTTGATACAGTGGCTCTGTGTAATCCTTCCATCTGCTTTTGATGCTTCCTGTTTCATTCAATGTTTTGCCCCTAGTATCTTTCAGAATTGCAACTCAAGGCTTGTATTTTTTCTTCACTTCTTTCAGCTTGAAAAATTCTGAGCATGTTCTTCCCTTTTGGTTTTCTAAATTCAGGTCTTTGCCCACTTCGTTATAACATTTTACTTTGTCTTCTTAAGCTACACTGCGAAATCTTCTGTTCAGCTCTTTTGCTTTATCATTTCTTCCATTCACCTTAGCTACTGTATCTTCAAGAGCAAGTTTCAGAGTCTCTTCTGACATCCATTTTGGCCTTTTGTTTCTTTCCTGTCTTTTTAATGACCTTTTCCACACACACAGGATGGAAGACGGGGTGTTATTTTTGCAGAAGTCATTGTGAGGCCTGGAGGGACTCAGTTGAGACCCCCAAACTCTTCAGAGTACGGGGACATGGGGAATTGAACACAGCTGGAAACTTGGCTAGGGGAGTCAGAAGCTGACTGCTACATGCCCTGATGGGTCTGGAGGGGGACGTTAGAGGCTCTTTCTCCACAGGCCTTAGGCTGTATTCCGTCTTCTCTTTGACTGAGGCAGCAGAAACTGATCTGAAACATGAAGCTTGAATCTCAAGCGTGGGGGCAAGAGGGGCGCAGTAAATTGTGATAGGTGATGGAGAGGGTCAGGGAACAGACGTGAGGGCTTGTAGGCCAGAAATGAATAAAGGTAGAAAATCCAGAGGAGCCGAGTAGACTGAGACTCTGTGATTGCTGAGTGAGGAGGGTGAGAGAGGACAGGACCCCTGCTGAGGAGGCATGGGTTTAGCACACAGGGAAGGATCCAGCAGCATCAAGTTGCTTCTCCACCCACAGGTCCTGGATGCATGGAGACAAGAGGGCTTTCATAACTGAGGTTTAAGGAGGTCACCCCAGGCAGCCAGAATCCATCTTGAGGTGAAATAACTTCCATCTGGCACTGTGGCAGAATTTCAGGGCAGTCACTGGACTGACTCTGGGGCCATTACGTTGCCTGATCCTTCAGCCCGCAGAGAGCAGGACTGGGAGAAGATTTTGGCTCCGAAGAACAGGGAAGACGTGGAGACCATGAAGAAATTGACTCCAAAACATGAGGCTAAAGGTGAGAGTTGCTGAGGGTGTGGAGAGGTGAAGGGGGGACCAAGGCTCCAGGTTCAGGTGAGAATGCTTCAGAGACCACAGCTGAGTGAAGTGGCTGCTTCCTTCCATCCCAGGGCTCAGAAGAGCTACTTTGGGAGCATTCTGGGAGGTCTGCTTTCTCACAGCTTCTCTTTTTCCCTTAGGTGTGTCTTGTAAGGATACTGACTGGCCCCAAGAGAAGAAGAGGAAGCCCACAATGCTGGTGAGTTGGAATTAACCCTATTTTATGAAATGCTGGCCCCTTCCAGAGAATAGGCATGTGTTCCCTGTCTTAGGAGGGGGGATGGCGATCAACATTTAGGCCTTTCATGCCTTCGTGTCAGGTACCCTGTTAGACATTTTAGAATTGTTTCTCCTTTTTTGCGTTTTATTTTTCTTGTTGAAGACATATCCAGTATTAGTATTAGGAATCCAGGAAACTCTAAGACATAAGGAATATTTTTGAAAAATTGGAATTATTAAAATTTTTAGATTTATTATTAAATTTCACTACACATCCGCGTACATGCTGTCTAATGATAGCATCTTGTATTCTGGGCATTCTTTTACTTTTTAATTATTGAACTTTTTAACCATACAGAAATAGAGAGCATAGTAAAAATAAAAATAGATTCTCCAGTAGCATCATACAGGTTCAGCAATCATCTATAGTGGCCAGTCTTATTTACAGGAATATGATATTATGTTAAAAAGTATGAAAATAGCAAATATAAAAATATCTACTTTTCCCCTTTTCTGTTCAGTTCTGACACAAGTGCCCACAGAGCGCTTCCTTCTCTGCCCCTGGCCACCTGGAGCTGGGTCAGTCTCACAAGTTAAAAGGATAGTGTTCTTCAAACTGCCAGATAGGCAGATTCTAAATGGAGGTTTTGGAGTCCACATAACACCCTCACTTCTGACCTGCTGGCTATAAATTTGGGGTGTTTCTCATTCCTTTAGGATGCCAGTTACAAGATTGAGAGCCCCCTGGTCTCCCTTCCTTCTGACCTACTGGCTATAAATTCCAGGTTTTCCTCTACCCCTTCAGGATGCCAGCTCTAAGCTTGGGAGTCCCTCTCCTGAACTTCTCCATTCTGACATGTGGGCTCCGACTACTCCTTTGGGTTTGATAATTCACTGGAATGACTCACAGAACTCACAAAAAGGGCTGTATTTATGATTTCGGCTTTGTTATAGCAAAAAAAGGATATAAATAAAGAGGTGCATAAGGCGAGGTCTGGGAGGGTTCCCAGTGCGGAGCTTCCATGTCCCAAAAAGGGATGTGCTGCCATCCCATGTGCATGGATGTCCCTCACCAACCAGGAAGCCCATGGAGCTTCTGTGTCCAGAGCTTTTGTTAACTTCATTACATAGTCGTGATTGACTGAATCATCACTCCTCCCTCCCCTGAGGTCAGCTGGGCATTGAAAGAAGTTATATGATTCATTACTGATCTTGATGCACATCTGTATTTATGTAGTGTTTTGTGAACTGAAGAGCAAGGAGAAAAGTTTGTACTTTATGGAATTTCTCACAGTTAATGTACCATGGCAACTGAAATTTGAACCATTTCCTTGGATGACCAGGGTTATTTAACTAAACCATGGTAACTGAAATTCCTGTGTATCGAAACTATACAAAGTGAGGATTTCCTGCATTTAAAGTGGGTGAATTATAAAGCAAGTGGATTGTAAATTATACCTCAATAAAGTGTTTGTAGGAGCCCTGATGGCACAGTGATTAAGTGCTCAGCTGCTAACCAGAAGGTTGGCGATTCAAACCTACCAGCTGCTCCACAGGAGAAAGATGTGATGATCTGCTTCCAGAAAGATTGCAGTCTTGGAAACCCTATGGGGCAGTTCTACTCTGTCCTATAGGGTCGCTATTAGTCAGAATCAGTGCAGTGGCAATGGCTTAAAGTGTTTTTGTTTTTAAAGATTAAGTTATTTGTAAATGTCTTTTTTCTGGAATATTACTGCCATTCCCTTGCCAACGGTTTTGCATTGATGAAATACTACTCTACATAATGAGTGAAGTGTTAAGGACTTTACTAGAAAAGGTTATTAAAATACATGCACAAAGATAGTGATTTTACAGATCCCATTTAGTTCCTGAACTCTGCAGAAATGCTCCCTCCAGGCATCTGTTCACTCCCACTTTTCTCTGTAGGTGAAGTTTCCATCCATCTTCTCCTTTAAATCTTCACTGTCCCTTAATGCCTAGCACAAGCCCCACCTCCGTGACACCTTTTGTTCTTTTCTAGCCCATCCTGTACTCTCCCATCTTTGACTTCTGTTATGAATTCTGAAAGTCACTTTCTTGAATACTGCTTAATACTTTCAAATTGATTCACAAAGCATTTCTCCAGTGAAATCATACGTGTTTCAGGGCCAGGATGTGTTTCGTGCATCACTTGTGCTCCCCACAGATTTTATCACAAAGCCAGGTATACAGTCGTGTCCAGGAGAATTTGATATGGGGAATTGTGTTCTCGGAAAAGAATTAGATGAACTTCAGATCCAGACTCTTGAGGGCCACCAGTTAAACTCCTTTCATTGGGAAAATTGATGGTGATTTGCTGTGCATTGATTTATTGCTTATTCTAGGAACCAGTTACATTCGAGGATGTCACTGTGGTCTTCACGGAGGCAGAATGGGAGAGACTGAGCTCTGAGCAGAAGAACCTATACAAAGAAGTGATGCTAGAGATTTACAGGAATCTGCTCTCGTTAGGTGAGGATATGCTCTTTTCTTTTCCTTCGTTAATTCAGCATTTATTGACCACCTACTGTGTGTCAAAGGACCCCTAGTGGTGCAGCGTATAAGCACTCATCTGCTAACCAAAAGGTTGGCGGTTCGAATCTACCAGCCATTCTGCCGGAGAAAGATGTGGCAGTCTGCTTCTGTAAAGATTATAGCCTTGAATACTCTGTGGGGCAGTTCTACTCATCCTATAGGGTTGCTATGAGTTGGACTCAAGTCAGTGGCAATGAGTTTTTTTGCTTTTCTATGTGCTGTATGATCCTGGGTGGTGCAAACAGTTTTTTCTCAACTATTAACCTAAAGGTTGATGGTTCGAACCCATCCAGTGGCACTGCAGAAGAAAGGCGTGGCCGTCTGCTCTTTAAAGATTACAGCCAATAAAACCTTATGGAGGAAATAAAATAAATAAAAAACAAAAACAAAAAATAAACCCTATGGAGCAGTTCTAGTCTGTAACACATGGGATGGCCGTGAGTTGGAATCGACTCAATGGCAATGAGTTTGTTGTTTGGTTTTGTTTTTACTGTGTGCCAGATAACGTTCTAGAGAGTCAGAACACATTAGTAAATGTAGTAGTTGGAAATGCCTGCCCTCACTGGGCTTACCTTCGAGTACAAGGAGACAGGCAACAAACAGCACACTTTGTAGATGGAGACATTACAATACGGTGTGCTGGAAGTTGACAAGAGCTGTAGTGAAAAACTAGAAAAAATAGAGCGAGAGAAAGGAGTATTGAGTGTGACAGGGTGTCTGGTTCAAGTTTGAAATTGGTATTTGAAATCAGCAAGGAGGTAACCTGGCCAAAGACTAAGTGGTGTTGGAGTCAGAACTCTAGGTCCCGAGGGCAAGAGCATTTCAGATGGAGGGAGCTGTCGCTGGTGCGAAGGCCTTAGGGAGGGATGTGTCTGCCCAGTGTGAGGAAGTGTGAGGCCAGTGAAGTTGGGGCACCGTTTGCAAAGAGAGGGTCGTGAGAGATGCCTTTTGCAACAGAACTTTTTATGGCTTTTGGATTTCATAAAGCGTATTTTTTCTTTTATCATTTATTAAAAATATTTACAGTCATTCTTAAATCTGGGTTGATAACTATCATCACTGGCAACATTATTCTAGGTCAGGGGTTGGCCAGCTTTTTCTGTAAAGGGCCAGATGGCAACTATTTAGGTTTTGTGGCCATGTGGTCTCTGTCACAACTGTCCATTCTCCTGTTACAGTGCAAAAGCAGTTATCTACAACATGTAAACAAATGGATATGACTGTGTTCCAATACAGCTTTATTTATGGACACTGAAATTTCAAGTTCCTGTAATTTTGACATACTACAAAGTAACTATTCTTTTAACTTTTTTCCTGACCATTTAAAATGTAAAAAATATTCTTAAATTACATACTATGCAAAAACGGGCAGAGGGCTGGATATGGCCTCTGGGCCATCGTTTTCCCATCTCTTGTTCTAGATCAGCACTGCACACTAGAAATACAATGTGAGCAACATAGGTAGTTTAAAAGTACTTAGTAGCCACATCAAAAAAAGTAAAACTAAACAGGTGAAATTAATTTTAATAATATATTTTATCTAACACAGTGTGTCACAATGTCACAATTTCAACATACAATCAATGTAAAAAATATTCGCTAGGTATTTTACTTTTTTTTTGCATGAAGTCTTTACAATCTGGTGTGTATTTTTTCACTTAGAACACATCTTAGTTCAGACTGGCTACGTTTCAAGTGCTCAGTAAACATAATGGTGAGTGGCTACTCTATTGGTTGCTGCATTTCTAGATATTCTTATATCTCTAGAGTAACCATGTTGTCTTAGTTAATTTAGTTCTGCTATAACAGAAATACCACAAGTGGATTGCTTTAGCAAAGAGAAATTTATTCTCTTACAGTCTAGTCAGCTAGAAGTTGAAATTCAGGGTGCCAGCTCTAGGGGAAGATTTTCTCTCTCTTTTCGGTTCTGGGGGAAGGTCCTTGTTGTCAGTCTTCCCCTGACCTAGGAGCTTCTCAATGCAGGAATCCCAGGTCCAAAGGATGCGCTTTGCTCCCAGGACTGCTTTCTTGATGGCATGAAGTCCCTCTGTCTCTCTGCTCACTTCTCTCTGTTATATCTTGAAAGAAGTTGACTCAAGACACAGTCTAATCTTGTAGATTGAGTCCTACCTCTTTAACATAACTGCTTCTAATCCTACCTCATTAACATCACAGAGGTAGGATGGATATATAACACATAGGAAGATCACATCAGATGACAAAATAGTAGACAGTCACACAATACTGGGAATCATGGCCCATCCAAGTTGACACACATTTTAGAGCAAACTCAATTCAATCCATGACACATGTAGAGAAGAATCACATTTTTGGAGACTCAAACAGTTCCAGGTAGATGTTTCTTTCAAACAGTGTGGCTATTTCCATGATGCAGATTCACTTTGTTCCATCTTCATCTTCTTCGACATGTTTTTATCTGGTTTGAACCAGCACTATCATGAGCTGCATCCATCAAACTCAGTACAGATAGTCCCTGACTTAACATGGCCTTGAGTTATGATGAAATGCACTTACATGATTACTTAATAGGTACTACATACAATGTTACAGCACGTATTTTGCTAACGTTATTTTGATGACAACCCCCAAAGACAAATACGATTGGCTTTAAAAGATACTGATAATAGAAGGCAATAATAATGAAAACTTAAAAAAAAAAGGTATTCTACTCATGTCAGAATGGACTTACGACACACTCATCGGAGTGAAACTCTGTCATAAATCAGGAACTACCTGTTTAGATTTATTCAGTTCAATCTAGTTTTGTGTGTTTTGATTTGGCCATAGCTAATCAATCAAATTACCCGTGGAAGTAGCAGTGAAGAAACCAAGTGACGTATTGTATTGGGCAAATCTGCTGCAGAAGACGTCTTTAAAGCTTTAAAAAGCAAAAGATGTCACCTTGAGGACTAAGGTGTGCCTGATCCAAGCTATGATATTTTCAGTCACCTCATAAAATGCATGCAAAAGCTGGACAATGAATAGGGAAGACCAAAGAAGAACTGATGCCTTCAAATTATGGTGTTGGTGAAGAGTATTGAATATACCATGGACTACCAGAAGAATGAACAGATTGTCTTGCAAGAAGTACAGCCAGAGTGCTCCTTTGAAGCGAGAATAGTGAGACTTTGTCTCACGTACTTTGGACATGTTATCAGGAGGGAACACTCCCTAGAGAAGGACATGATGCTTGGTAAAGGGTCAGCAAAAAAGAGAAAGACTTTCAGTGAGGTGGATTCACACAGTGGCTACAACAGTGGGCTCAAGCATAGTAACAATTGTGAGGATGGTACAGGACCAGAAAGTGTTGTTGTCTTGTGCACATTGTCACTATGAGTTGGAACCAACTTGACAGCACCTAACAACTAACAACAAGAAAAATCAATCTAATTAGATTTGATTTTTATTTTTATCTGGTCATGGTATTCTCTTTTTTTATGTTAATACATTTGATTGGTTCTGAGGAAAATATTAAAATTATATGGTTCAAATTAATCTTCATATTGAAAGCCTAGGTCCCTGAATCCAGTTGGATTTCTTGACATACTTTCCTTTCTCTTGCTTGACAACACAGTATTCTGAATTCTCTAGTCTCTTATTTCTACTTTTGGGTTTTTCTCTTATTTCTCTTTTCTTCAGACTATAGTGGTCTGTAGGACTTAGTGTCGTATACTGTTTTTCTGTGTCTATAGTCACATTCTCAAAGAAGTTGTGAACTTTAATGATTTTGACCATCACATACAATGAACCCATTTTCGCTCTGTCACTGTCTCACCTGTATTTCTACTTGCCTATAAAAAATCAAAAGTGTATTCTTAAACTTATCAGAATTTGAGATCATACTGTTTTTCCTCCTAAACCAGTCTCTTTTTCTCTATTTCTTCATATAGTCATGTCATCATGTCTTTTCCTCAAGTCCACTGTTAAAAATAAATGACCAATTCTCCCTGAAATAATCTTTAAAGACTTCATGGAAGAGATATTTAAGCCAGCTTAGGCTAGGTAATTTTGTAACGTACAACTCCAGTAATTTAATGGCTTCTAACAGCAAGTGATCATTTCTCCCTTATATTGTGGCTACAGTTCAGGTGCAACTCAGCCCACTGGTTTTGGGATCCAGGCCAAAGGAGCAGCCTCTCTCTGGGTCTTGGGGTTCTCAAAGCAGAAGGGCAAAGAGAGCACACTGTAGCTCTTAAAACTTGTTTGAAAGTGGTACTAAATTCCACTAATCTTCGTTGGCCAAAGCAAATCACGTAGCCACGTCTAATGTCACTGTGGTGGGAAAGATACTTCTTCTGCAGGAATGGAGTCAGTAGGAGGGGCAACAAATATTTTGACCACAATACAGTTTACCACAAGAGGAGAAGCTTGAGCTGAACTTTAAGAAAGTAGTAGGATTCAGGTCCCTGGGTGTTGTAGAAGGCTAATACAGTCACTGCTAACCCTAGGATTGGAGATTCGAATCTACCCAGAGGTGCCTCTGGAAAAAGGCCTGGCGATCTCCTTCTGAAAAATGAGCCATAGAAAACTCTATGGAGCATAGTTCTACTCTGACATACATGGGCTTGCCATGAGTCAGAATTGACTTGATGGCAACTAGTTTGTTTTTGGTTCAATGGGCGTCAGGGTAGATAATAGGAGCCCTGGTGGCCCAATGATTAAGCACTTGGCTGCTAACCGAAAGATTGGCAGTTCGAACTCAACAGCTATGCCGCATGAGGTAGTCTGCTTCCATAAAGATTTACAGTCTTGGAAAACCTGTGGGTAGTTCTACTCTGTACTACGGGATCACTATGATTTGGAATTGACTCGATGGCAACTGGTTTTAAGGTAGACTTAACAGTTATAAGCATATTACCCACTTGTTTACTTCTCTTTTTTTTCTCTTCTGCTGAATTATTTCAAAGCTAATCCTT